TGAGGGGAGATAAAGAAAGTGATTTAAGAAGAGAGAGAAAAGAGAAGAGGGGATTTTATTGTGGGTATTAACACTGTAGCTACAGTGTTTGTTTGAGGAATCTCAGTCTTGAAGGTCGATCTTGAGAGCTTAGGAAGCATGAAGAGTCCGAGACATCCACACACAAAGGCACAGGCGGATGCAAGAGCAAATGCTGAGATGTTCCCCTTGCCGAAGTTTTGGTCCCACGTACCTGAACCAAGAACCACTATCACCTGCAACAATCGAATCAATCAAGCAAAACATTAACGTTATATGTTAGTTCCATGAAGTTGTTGATATGGTTTTATTTAAGATAAATTACAGAAAGTCCTTTAAGGTTATAGTTTCAAAAGTTAGGGTTAGATAAGTTTGATGGATCAGATTTCGAATTCTGGAAAATATAGATAGAGGATTATCTGTATCAGAAAAATCTGTATCAACCTCTCTCGGGGAAGAAGCCGGAGGGTATGAAGGAAGAAGATTGGAATCTTCTGGACAGAAAAGCCCTCGGAGTTATCAGATTGACATTAACTCGCAATGTTGCGTTCAACATAGCGAAGGAGAAGACCACGGCGGGTCTATGGCAGCACTCTCAAATATGTATGAGAAGCCATCAGCCTCAAATAAAGTCCATTTGATGAGGCGGTTATTCAATCGGCAGATCTTATGGCAGCACTCTCCAATATGTATGAGAAGCCATCAGCCTCAAATAAAGTCCATTTGATGAGGCGGTTGTTTAATCTGCGAATGGCGGAAGGTGCATCGGTAGCACATCATCTCAATGAACTCAATACAGTCACGACCCAATTGAGTTCAGTTGATATTGAGTTTGATGAGGAAGTTCGAGCGTTGATCCTTTTGTCTTCCCTACCAGAGAGTTGGAACGCTACGGTCACAGCTGTGAGTAGCTCATCGGGAAGCAATAAGTTGAAGTTTGACGACGTTCGTGATCTGGTTCTCAGTGAGGAGATCCGACGGAGAGAGTCGGGGGAAGCTACAACCTCTTCAGTATTGCATACAGAGTCAAGAGGTAAAAGTTTAACCAGAGGAAATGGATCAGATGATAGGAGATCCAAATCCAGAAATCCCAACAGTTCGAAGGCTATCGAGTGTTGGAAGTGCGGGAAAATCGGGCACTACAAGAATCAGTGCAGGAGTGCACGGGAGGAGTGGGAGGCAAATGCAGATGTGAACGTTGCCTCCACCTCAGGAGGAGATGATGCGCTGATATGCTCTTTGGAGAGCAAGGAGGAGTCTTGGGTGTTGGACTCGGGAGCATCATTCCATGCTACTTCTCAGAAAGAATTCCTCGAGAAGTATATCCCCGGAAACCTTGGAAATATATATCTTGGTGACGATCAAGCATGTGCCATTATTGGCAAAGGTGTAGTGAAGATTAAGCTGAATGGGTCAGTATGGGAGCTGAAGGATGTCAGGTATATTCCCGACCTGAAGAGGAACTTAATCTCAGTAAGCCAGCTGGCTAGTGAAGGCTACACGATGACTTTCCATGGAGATGACTGGAGGATTTCGAAGGGCGCAATGACGATTGCCAGAGGTAGGAAGACTGGTACCCTGTATATGACAGCGGGTGCACGTTGTTCGATCTCAGTTGCAGCAGGCAATGAGATTTCAAAGCTGTGGCACCAGAGACTCGGTCATATGAGTGAAAAGGGGATGAAGGTTATGCACACAAAGAGAAAACTCCCAGGTTTACAATCAGTAGAGATTGATATGTGTGAAGAATGCATACTTGGAAAGCAGAAGAGAGTTAGCTTTCAGGCAAGTAGCAGACCCCCCAGGAAGCAGAAGCTAGAGCTTGTTCACTCGGATGTTTGGGGACCAACAACCACCGCGTCGATTGGTGGGAAACACTACTTCGTGACTTTTATTGATGATCACTCTCGGAAAGTATGGGTCTACTTTCTGAAGAAAAAGTCAGAAGTGTTTGAGGCTTTCAGAAGATGGAAAGCCATGGTCGAGAATGAGACCGGTTTGAGGGTAAAGAAACTCAGAACAGACAATGGTGGTGAGTATGAAGACACCAGATTCAAGAAGTTCTGCTATGAGCATGGAATCAGAATGGAGAGAACCGTGCCCGGAACGCCTCAGCACAATGGTGTGGCTGAGCGCATGAATAGGACGTTGACAGAGAGAGCCAGAAGCATTCGGACGCAGTCAGGTCTACCGAAGCAGTTCTGGGCAGAAGCAGTCAACACAGCAGCTTACTTAATCAACCGAGGTTCATCGGTTCCATTGGAGCACAGAATACCAGAAGAGGTATGGTGCGGAAAGGAGGTAACCCTCTCACATCTCAAAGTTTTCGGTTGTGTAGCTTATGTGCATATAAGTGATCAAGGCAGGAATGAGCCTGATCCCAAGTCTAAGAAATGCACATTCATCGGGTATGGTGAAGACGAGTTCGGCTACCGCATTTGGGACAACGAAAACAAGAAGGTGATCAGGTGCAGAGATGTGACATTCAACGAGAAGGTGATGTACAAGGACATGCACAAGACAGATGACTCAGAGAGCGAGTCAACATTTGTAGATGCAGATGATGTCCCAGATAACCTCTCTGAAGAACCCAATGCAGAAGGTCCTCAGCCAGAAGAGCCTGTTGGACAGAACGGTGCGCAGGAGCCCGACGCACCAGCTCTAATATTGAGGAGAACCACTCGTCCTCCTGTGCCTAACAGCAGATACATGAATTATATGTTGCTGACAGATGGAGGAGAGTCTGAAAGCTTTGATGAAGCTTGTCAGAGTGGAGATGCGAGCAAGTGGGAGTTTGCTGCGAAAGAAGAGAAGAAATCTCTGATCTCCAACCAGTCATGGGGACTAGCTGAGTTGTCCATGGGGAAGAAGGCACGTCACAACAAGTGGGTGTATCGAGTGAAAAAGGAGCAGAATGGTTCCAAAAGATACAGAGCCCGACGAGTTGTCAAAGGATTTCAACAGAATATCCAAGGAAGAAAGGATCCAGCGGATATGTTGACAAAGGCAGCGACCTTTCAGAAACTGGAGTTGTGTGCAACTTCAGTTGGCCTTCATGCATAGATGATGAATGCGGAGCCACACAGGAGAGGAGCTTGATGGGATAGCCTGTTGTCGTCGGTTTGGTCTCCAAGTGGGAGATTGTTAGGTTGAAGATGGATACCAACCTCCGACGGCGGAGGAGCTCCGACGAGCTCCAGGAAGACGCAGACGAGCGTGGCTAAGTCGGCGACGACCCCCCCAGGCGAGCTCGAGCTTGGCGAACGCGATGGTGGTTTGGGTCGAACGCGACCCTCGTTGGCGAACGCGACCCTCAGTTCCGACCCCCGCGTTCGGCCTCCCACACCCGCGTCCGTGCGAACCGCTGGCGACAGGTTGTCGCCAGCCTATCATCGATTCGACTATAAAAGAAGCCCCCCACGAGCCCTAGGGTTTTGCTCCTCCTCCCCGAATTTTTTTCTCTGGCGGTGGATGCCTTAACGCAACAGCGTTCTCATTCGGTCCTCTTTGAAATCGCAGCAGCGATTTTACTTTTGATCTCCAGCTCTCAAATAGTGATTTGAGGGGAGATAAAGAAAGTGATTTAAGAAGAGAGAGAAAAGAGAAGAGGGGATTTTATTGTGGGTATTAACACTGTAGCTACAGTGTTTGTTTGAGGAATCTCAGTTTAGAGATTTGCTCTTGATTTGTAATTTCTTGTTAGATTAAATAAGAAATTGACTGTGTGGCTCCCGAGGACGTAGGCAGTTGCCGAACCTCGTAAATCTTGGTGTACTGTTCTCTATTCTGCGTTTCCGTTGCATTAGGGATTTAGGCGTTAAATTCCCAACATGAACTGCTATGATTTACTCTGTAGATGGAACTCATTCTTTGGATGCATCTCGGTATTAGAAGAGTGCAGCCCAAAAATGACCGCACCTCATTTTCATAGGAGATAAATCAACAACCGTCGATGCAATCAATACACGGCGATTATGATTAAAAGAGTTTAAGACTCCACACTACTTAGCCTACGATGGAGAAGCCCCCATGTCCTCAAGATAGGGGTTCGTTATCCTTCTCATACATGAAGCATATGATAAAACAGTATGAAAATAAAATATGTGTAATGTATAAACATGTTTAGCCCGATGATAGTACTCACTACTCACATACTTCTGGTGGGTGAATGCCTCACTAGTCTCTACATTCAAAAGGTTTCCATAAGACTCGGCCTCAGCCAGGACCATCGAGCTGAGGACGGTTCTAGCTTGGCACCTTTCTACCAATCGTACCAAATTTGTTCCCGTGCTCGCAAAGATCTTTTATGGGTGGGGCTCATATTCTTAAATTTAGCTCATCTAACCATTAGACCAAAACTCCGAAGTTATGGTGAGGGTCTAGAATTATATATATAGTTAACGCCTTTTTTATGAGCTAAAATCTGGACTCACGTAACAGTGTCAAATTTAAAAATCCGATTAAAATTTATAACCGGTGGGATTCGAACCTAGGTTGCTCTGATATACCATCTTAAATTTAGTTCCTATAACCATTAGACCAACTCCAAAGTTATGGTGAGAATTAAGGATTATAGTTTTATATTAATTCTAACATGCACATGAAGGTCAATCGTTTTTTTATGAGTCGAAACCTGGACTCACGTAACAGTGTCAATTTTTAGAAAATCCGTATTTAATTCGTGACCGGTAGAATTTGAACCTGAGTTGCTCTGATACCATCTTAAATTTAGCTCCTCTAATAACCATTAGACCAAAACTCCGAAGTTATGATGAGAGTCTAGAATTATAGTTTTTATACTAATTTTAACACATCCATTTCGTTTTGTCAAGGTAGATTGTGATTCGAACTGACCTAACCTGATCACATCCAAACCAACTATGGGTCTTGATTTTGTTCCACCTTAACTTAGTAGACAGATAGAGATTCGGTTCCTCATGGCTCCACCTAAATCTCAAATTTACCCAAGCTCATTTAGCGGGGAAAAATAGGTGTAACAGTCAATGGTTGAGGGCTCAAAAGAAAAAAAATTTAATGGCAATTTTTAGAATAAAGACTTTTCCGTATCTTCCCTATCAAAGGAAGGCAATATTGGGCACAGATGACGACCAGGTCAAAGGCAGTTAAAACAGAATCCCTAAATTGGCATTCTTGTGTGTGATTCATAGCTATCTTCTGCGTGCGTTTTGGTTGTCCTCTCCCTCTCTCCGCCAAACCTCTCATGCTCACCTCTCATCTCCTCCAAACTCATTTCCCCACTACATACTCTCCCCTCTCCATCTCTCCATGGAGGAGGGGGTCCCACCCTTGCCTCCCAAATCTATGCCTCACCCGAATTCCCCTGGGGATGCCAATGGCGATGCCAACAGCCTCTCCTCTGCCATCATCCCCTTCAACAAAAACACATACGTCGTCCAAGTCCCCAAGGACCAAATTTTTCGAGTACCACCACCAGAAAATGCTCGCATCATCGAGGAATACCACAACAAGATGAAAACAAGTAAGAACAGGCCTTATGATTGCAGCTGTGTGGCTCTGGTATTCATGGTCCTCCTAGGCACTGCATTCCTCTGCCTCAGCGGTGTTCTCATCTTTTACTATGTTGCAAATCCAGGAGTCCCGCATCTCAACGTGGATCATGTTGCTCTAGTAGACCCCTCAAGCGCGAAGCCCAAGTTTGATATCACGATAAAGGCTCAAAATCCTAGTGCAACAATGGACTTCCGCCATTTAAGTGGTGGGAAAGTTGATTTGTTCAATAACGGAAAGCATATTGCCTCCGACATCCCACCTGATTTTGATGTAGGGCACAAGGATACGACGGAAATTAAGCTCTCTCTTCTGAGTTCAAAGGCTAAATTGCCTAAAGAGTTCAACTCTACTGCGAAAGGATCAAAGAATGCTCTCGTCCCTCTCTCTTTGTCAGCTGAATTTCCTGTGAAGTTAGGTTTCGGCATACTGCGAATGAGGAAGAAGAAACTAGCCGTTAATTGTGATTTTAAAGTAAGCAAGACGGCAAAGGGGCTAAATGTTGCGTCACAAAACTGCAATGTAAATATTTAAGAATGATGATAGCACTGGAGAAAGATATTATGTTGTTAACCTTTTCTCTCTTTGTCTTCCATTTGCATTGAGAACTTTGCATGTATAAGAGATTTGTCATGATGTAGTAATCATAAATTGATCCTTTTTGCTTATATTTATGTGGCATGTATCTTCCTTCTCTTGGGAAAAGCTTTCAAAAAACTCAAATTTGACGCAACATCCTTGCATTGACTCTTTTGAACTGTATCAAAAAATTGTAGGAAGTTTTGTTCTAATATAACCATGATTCCATGAACGACTTTGATGGGAAGAAAAACTAACAAGAATAGCTTCATCTCAGGTCATTACAATTGAAATGGTTGTTCTGATAATATAGTTGTTCTGATAATATAGTACATCTATTGAACATCTCATGAAGCATAACCAGTTACTTTTCACCAATCGTTCATGATCATTTTTATCAAAGGCCACCGACTGTTCTGTATCTGCTCTGGCATGCTCTGCATACTATTTCAAGAAATACACAAGGGGACGGGATAGCTGAAATACTCAGCACTATGTTGATGTTCTAAATAATGTGAGTGCTTATGCGATATAAGTTTATATACACAAGCAAGTCAAAACATTTATAGGCATCACCAAACAAAACATATAATAAAAATAATGGCTATAGTTATTGTCCAAATCCACCTTAAAAATTATAAAAAAGGTTATCTAGTTGACAACATAAGTATGTCTGAAGTATTGCATAGCCCACCCAACTGTTTTGTAACACAGTGGAAACAATTCTCCAATCAAAGCGTATAGCAATTTATTCTGAAGAAAAAGCCTGTTAAGCCATGCATATGAAGCAAAAATTTATTTAACCTGTGGAAAGTTGCCCATTTGAAATCTATATGCATGCAAATGTGGTTATTGCTTTAAGTCATAAATATCATTTCAAAAAACTAATCCAACTAGAAGTAGGAACAATCAAATTTTAAATTGGTGTGCTCTTAAACGATAAACTTATGTGTACCAACAAGTTATAGGAAATAATCAACTTAGTTCAAAAAAATTGTCAATTTAGCAAATATACTTACCAAAAACTGGAGCCTCCCAAAACCTGATTTTACGCTTTAGAAGCTTACATGCTTCTCAATCCTCACCTTGGAAGCAATCCGCAAGTCATTGCCAAAGAACCTTAATCTTGAGATGTTTCCACCAAATTTGACCAGCCTTATCAGGAAGTAACAAACTTTTAACTGCTATTTGGAAGAAGTCCATCTTTTGCCATCCCAGTAAGGACATCTAATAGAGCCTCCATGTTACCATCCTTGTGGTTCACTTCAACAAGAGCCTTTGAAGTCTCAGCATCTGTTAACAAACAACATGTCATCAACCTACGGATCACTTGGTTCACTTCAGAGCTCATGCCCTCTTCTGAGAGCCCTTTAATAAGAGAGATAGTGCTTATTGCACTTGGATTAAAACCCAACCCTAGCATTTCCTTGTAGAGTTCGAGCGCCTTAGTCATGCTTCCACCTCTACAATGCCCATGAATAATGATGTTGTAAGCAGCCTCATTAGGCTTCCCATTCTTCTCAACCATCGTCTCAAATGCTCTTTCAGCTTCATTCATCAACCCTTTCATACAGAAACTCTTTATAAGTGACACCATACTCTTTAACTCTATTTTGTCACAACAATCCATTAGTTCATCATATGTCACCTTATCTGGAACCGGCTCCTCATAATACAGTCTAAAGAGCAACCTTCGGGCTTCCTTTGTCTTCGCTATTTTATTTAGGCCATTAATAAGAACACTATATGTAACAACATCAGGCAGGATCCCTTTCTTTACCATCTCATCATGAAGACTGAAAGCCTTCTTCACATCACCATCTTTACAATACCCATCAATTAAGGTAGTGTAGGTGAACTCGTCAGGACACAGACCAAAATTCAACATGTTTTCAAATTGTTCATGAGCATCATCGAGTCTCTTTGCTTCACAAAGCCCTCTGATGAGGGAAGAATAGGTAAAAGCATCAGGAGAAATGCTCTTCTTCACCATGTCCTCGATTACCTCAAAGGCTTTCTCCAACTCTCCATTTCGACAATGCCAATTCAAAATCGTGCTATAAGTGACCACATCTGGTACCAACCCTCTCTCCTCCATCTCTTTCACCACCCCCAAAGCTACATCTATTCTTCCTAACATACAATACCCATTAATTAGAGCATTATAGCCCACAATCGAAGGCGAAACACCACTCTCCTTCATCTCCTCCATCAACCTCAATGCATCACCCAAGAACCCTTTCTTGCAAAACCCATCGATCAAAGTCGTGAATGTCATCTCATTGAGCCTCAATCCCCTCTCCTTCATTTGCCCAACAAAATCCATTGCCCGATTCAAATTCCCGCCTTTGCACATTGCATCAATCAATGACGTGTAACTCACCACATTCGGTGCCACCCCTCTCCTCGTCATCTCCCCATGAAGAACAAGTGCTCGATGAACATCCCTAGCTCTGCAATACCCATTCACAAGTGTATTATATGTGACTTCATTAGGAACCAATCCCTCTCTACCCATCTCATCCACAACCCTCTCCGACTCCTTAACCCTCCCCTCTCTACACAGCCCATTTATAATCGAATTATACGTAATCAAGCTCGGTCTCACTCCCCTCTCCGCCATCCTCCTTAAAACCCCAAACCCATCATCCACCCTCTTCGCCTTACAATACCCATCAATCAAAGTATTGTACGTGACTAGATTCGGCGAGCACCCCACCCTCCCCATCTCATCAAAAAACTCCAACCCTCTATCAACCTCCCCCAAAGAGCAAAACCCTTTAATCAAAATATTATAAGTGTAAACGTTCGGGGACACCCCGGACCGTTTCATCCCGTCGTAAAACTCATTGACGCATTTCACCGAACACTTGGTGCGCAGCATAGAATCAAGTACGGAATTGTAAGAGAGCAGTGCTGGGGCTATACCTGAGGACTTGGTGAGCTCCATGATCGACAATGCAGAGGTGATGTCGTTGTTTGAAGTGTAGTGTTTGATTAAGAGGTCGAAGGGGGCAGAAGAGGGAGGGGAGTTGAGGAGAGAGAAAGAGGAGAGGAGGGAGGAGAAGAGGGGTTCAGGGGAGGGGAGGGGGTCATGGGAGGAGAGGAGGCGGACGGGCAAAAGGCGGTAATTTCGGGAGCGGGTTGAGGAGGGAGGAGGCGAGAGGAGAGGGAGGTGAGGGGAGGGGGAGGGGTGGAGGTGGGCCAGAGACGAAGCGAGAGGGTTGAGGAGAGGGCGGTGGGCCCGGTGAGGAGGAGGAGGGGCTTTGAGTGGCGTGGATTTGTGGGTGAAGTTTTGGGTGAGGGAATGAGATGGCCAGGCCTCCGATTTGAGCGAGGCGAGAAGCTTTGTGGCCGCCAAGCTTGCAGGTGGTAATGGTTGGAGCTGAGACCGGCCATGGCTGTCCTGCGAACGCGTCGAGAAGGGGGAGGTCTATTTGGGTGTTAAATTACAAAAGCTCCATGGCTTTTGAGGGGGATTCAGATAAAACCCGCATGTATTATAAACATTTGGCAAAAAGACTCCTGAAGTTTGGGGACCTCCACAGAACTCCCTGATTTATGGAAACCATTTATGCAAATTGAGGGAAAGAAAGAAAAAGTAGCGATAAGTAGACTGTAAACCCCAAGCTACTTATGTTCCGCTAGAAACAAAAAGTGTGAGCCCCTCCTAAACAATTTTATAAAAATTCACACCCAAAAAAAAAATCCAATACTTCTGCTAAAACTAGTAGAAAAGCAGCATGAGTTTCTTTCACTTTTTTTTACTAATAGAGGGAGAGTTGTTTTTTAATTTTGATTGATTAATTTTTGAAGACGTTTTGTCTCTTATGGGCTCTAATTTCGTTGGTGGTAGTTTTCCCAAAGTGCAACGCGTTTTGTCGGATATTCCAAGGTTCAGGTGGTTTTATGGAATAAATAAGCATGATTCAGGGATTTCTGAGCAATATCCCCAACACCGTGGGGTTTCTACCATATTTACCCCTTTATTGGTCTTATTGTTGTATGGGCCGAGTGGGAACCGAATGCTATATGGGCCTGTCAGTTGTAGCACAATTTTAGCCATGTGGGGGACAGCAGTTAAGCCAGGGAGGGTAATGGGCCGTTTATAAGATCGGCCTCTACAGTCGAGAAAGGCATCGTTTTCCTGCAACTTCTGAACTTTTTCCTCGAGTTATTTAAGTATCCCAACACTAAATAAACTTAATTTTGGTGATGTCAGTAGTAAACACAAGTAAAGAAAAACAAAAAATGATCATAAAATAGAGATATAATCCAACGGGTGGTTTTATTCCAACGTCACGCTATTATCAGCTTTTGAGGTGTTTTCTAAGAATGATGCAAAACCTGGAGGATTTGGATCCTCTCCACTACAAAAAAGTAGTGGAGAGACCACTACTTTTAATCTCAAGCGTTGATTATTTAGTAGGCGGTTATGATACAATCTAAATCTAACATTTACCATACCCCCGTGTATTGCACTCATTCCTAATTTGCACTAAAAGAAAAAAATCATAACCACCAACTAGATAATCAATGGCTGTGATTATGTAGTGGTCCCTCCACTATTTTTTTTTTTGTAGTGGAGAGGATCCGAATCCAGACCTGGAGGCCTCTGACAACAACACAAAATAATATATACAGGATCTGGGTCAGTTGAAACATAAATAGAAACTGCAAAACAACTTAATTTAGTGCCATGTAAATTTTCTGGCCGGGAAGAAAAAAAAAAAATAGTTCACAAGCATATATTATTCAACTACAGGAAGTTTTCAATCACGTGAAAAAGCACAAGAGAGTCCAGAATTCTAACGATGGAGTACACTGAGTTTCTAATAAAGGATGCTCCTTGTTCACTCTTTGTTCCATATATATTTCCCCTCGTTTCCCCTTTTGTTCTGCACTTCGTCACTTTCTAATCTATGACAACTTCAGGATGGCCCCTACTTATTCACTACTGATGAGTTGAGAAACTTTTTAAGTACCTATATATTCACTAAAATATGAGAAATTTTTATACGTAGTATTTTTTTTTACAAGAAATTAAGTAATGTTATGGCGGGTAACGTAAGCTATTTAACTTATGATTTATATAAACAGCTAGTCGACTCGCTAGCTTAATCGGTTCAGCGTTAAGACGCTTGAAAATTTAACAGGCTGAATTCCCAATCAAAATTTCCCCAAAAAAAAAAAAAAAAAGATCAAATCATTTGAAACTGTGTGCTGCTTAGAACTTTTAACAGCTAGTGTACGTAGTACACTGGGAGTTTTTCTTTATGCTGCCCTGGTTTTTTTGACTTCAGCTAGCATGGCCCCTACACGTCCATTGATGGGTGAAGTTATAAGTACATTGAACCAGAGCATCCTGCCTGACCCTTGTGAGAGCAGGAACTGGTCAAGGTTTCATGTGATCGGGTCAAAAAGTTACCCCCGTTAATTAACATGCACTAGGAAATTTGTGTGTACGTACAAATTAAAGTTGTTTTTATCTTAATTTGTTCTGATTCTCCTTTAGTCTCTAACAGCAAGATTAGCCAATCGATCATGCGCTAGCCTCTCACACATATATTATGCCCTTCAATTATGTGCAAGATCTGTCCCCAGCGAAGAGACCCAAATGAAAAGTATTGATCCAAGGGAACAAAGCACACTCCACCAAATTATCTAACACCCAAGTTGCTCAAACTAACAAACGCACACGATAATCTAACAACAATGTTCCCTTAGAGCCTAAGTAAATTGAAAAAGGAGGAGGAGACACGTGGCGATTCGCACGTAGGNGAGATGGAGGAGGAGGAGGAGGAGGAGGAGAGAGAGCATCGGGATTGATTCCATATACCAATATTAATTGAAGATATAAAATCCCAAAGAGCCAATGAATGCTCTCCCACGCTTAGAGGGACCATCTCCTCAGCTACATTTGTGCTGAAAATGCCAAGTGACAAGTGTCCATGCCACCCTTACAACTACAAAGGGTGCTAGCTAGTATATATATTGATTTTTCTTTTTTTTTTGTTGGCCTCCCTTGAATTGGAGATCAGAAGTGGACATGTGAAGACATTGTAGAGGTGATGGGCAACGCATAAAGGAATTATGAAGGGAATCTTTGCGCTTTCAAAATGATTCCGTGGGAGACTAACTCGGCTATATAGTATCTAAACCTCTCGATCTCCTAGAATAAATCTAGCCACCCACAATAATGCATCAATTATTACGCATGCATTTTAGGTTTGTTTCGCGTATCTAACGAGCCTTGAATAAACAAAACTTGTTCGTGATACGCATCAAGTGTCAGGCGCTTGTGATCGATCGAGCCGGTTTTCGCAACATTAAATGAATCCGGGAGGATAGGATTGCACTGCAGAGAGATTCTTAATTAGATGACTTAATTAATTACCTTGTGTCTAATTACCATGCATTATTAGCTTGCTTTGCGACTGTAATGAAATAATGGAGACCATCTATGTAACAAATTAATGACCACATAGAGTAGTATTTAACTATATATATATATATATATGGAGGATAATACAGATCTTTTGGACAGGAAAGATTCATTAATCTAAATATAGAAGAGCAGCTAGTATCAACGGTCGCCTAGAGATTTCACTTCACTTGTGCATCAACTATTAGTCAACATAGAGAGTGTTAGCTAGCGAGGTTGATGGTACTCTAGGGGGGGGGGGATTGGATTGGCTTTCTTTTTCATATCAACGACTGTGCAATGAGAGGCTAAATGATTGTCATCACTAGCTACTCGGTATGCGAGAGGACCCCCAAAGGCCTCGGCACACCAATAATGGTGACTCCCCCTCAAGACTTAGTTTATTTCGATCAGAGACTTAGGCACCAATTATGAAAAGAATGGAGTGGGCATCATCTTTCCACATAGGAGAAGGGCTTGTCATCAAAAGGGAGTAGATGCGTGTTAGCGTCCCTGTTCAGAGACCAGGTGTGCTCAAAGGCGAGCTCTAGCTTTTGAGTGGAATCCAACTCCTCAGCCAACCATGGAGGATTCCTTTACACACGCTAGTGGGTCGTCTCCCTTTCATGACCTAACTAATTAAAAATAAAAAAAAAAGTATATTCAATCACAATTAAATCATCTGATAATATTGCTAATAGATTCCACTCCCCTCTTTTGTATGTGGGTCCGGCTGACTTAGATCCGTGGTGGCCAATGGTGAAGGTGTCCTCCTATTTTGTTAGAGGCTTTTTAACTACTACAATTGTAATTGTATATTAGATTTTGTTTTTGTTTTTTTATTTTTATTTTTTCCCCCCGGCCCCCTCCTCTCTCTCTCTCTCTCTCCCCCCTAGAGATGATAGCTCGCTCAATGTGTGCAGATCCTATAATGTGGGTTAATTATTTATGTCCCTTGCTTCAAGGATCACGCATTAATATTTCCCCTCTGCACCCTATAATGGTTGCACCCTCACCCTTATTCTATTTGGCCATGATCTCTTCTTGGGGGTCTCAAAGACAATCCCAATAATTTAAGAGCCAAGCTCTGTTCTGGCCATGGGGTTATGTGTGGAAGTGGGGGAGCACACACAGGGGACACATTTGTTTAAGAGGGAGAGTGCGTGTGTGTCGTCGACACATAACCCCCGTGGGCTTCGGTAGTGAAGATTTGCTATTATTTGATGCAGTGGCGTCGGAAGCAAGTATATATATGGGATTTTTTGCACTTCACTTCCGTGGGACTTGAGATTCCCCTGAGATTCCCTTATCCTTGAATTGGCTACACAAACCTTTTGTCAATGCATTTATAACTCTACCCATTAATTAGTCTTTTGCATCAAATGTAGCCATTTCGTGCTTAGAAACCCAAGATAATCGATGAGTAAAGGAGGTAGGACCTCCACTGGACCAACCTGTGTCTTAATTAAGGATAAAATCACCAACTCTCTTGCGATTGGCCAATTTGAAAAGAATAACATGGGATTAACGAGCAGTAGTCATGTCTCGATTAATTTAACAATCCTGGGGCTGTACGCATAACCTTTGTCTCAATTTATCGAAGAATTCATGATTGATAATGAGGATAAGGATGGTGATGAGGACGGAGGTCATGCTGAAGAGGGTTGTACTGAAATTAGTCAGGGGGTGGGTTACTAATTTGCGGAATATCATATGCTAACATGGAACATAATTCATGCTCATAAATATTTTCTTACCCTTATATTAGCTACTAATTAATTTCCAAAGATGAATGTGTTAATAGTGATGAGCTTTCTTTCTCTACTCAATGATGAGCTTTCTTTCTTCAGCTGCATAAACAAACAAAGCATCAAGCAGCTGATTGATGTAGAACCTGAACTGGATGAGTGTGACCCAAATCTTTCTATAAACTTGCCATTCTCCCTTTGAGAAAAATCTTTATTAAAAAAAATGGTGGCTGAAGGACCACTTGAAAAAGTTAAGAGGATCCCACATGATTAGAGGCCCCAAGTTCTTCGCCAATCATCATTGCTTCGAGTGAAAAAACCTACTAACACCTCGAAACTATTTGAAAATAATAAAAATATCTTCACTATTGTTGGCCTTTTGGCTGTTTCAGGTTAGGTTTCAGTGAGATACAGTAGTTAACTGAGCTTTAGTGAGATACAAATCCCATCAAGTGTGCAGTTTTGGTATCCATCTACTCAGAGAGCCTAAATCTTGAGTGTCCATGAATCGCTTTGTTAGGCGATGTGGAGCCTAACTATCAGACTCGGCCCTATTCGTTGCATTGAAGAGAAAAACCGGCAAGAACAGGAAAAACGAAGCAGACAACGTTTTGGGTGCTGGCCGGTCGACCGCGAGTCTAGGCCCGGTCGACCGGAAAACATGCACACTACAGGGTGTGTTTCTGCATTCTGGCCGGTCGACCGCGAGGCTAGGCCCGGTCGACCGCGGACCCTGTAATTGGTTTCCTGAGATTTTGATGTTCTGGTTGGTCGACCGTGCCATTGTTGACGGTCGACCGCGACTCAGGTTTGGGCCTGGGCTCGTTTTCCCGTCTGTTTGAGATTCTTGTTTGTAAGAACCCTATGCTATAAAAGGGGTGATTATGCCATCTTGTAAACTAACCTGAAAATAGTGAAACTTTTTCCTTGCGGCGACCGTGGACGTAGCTTCTCTCGTTGAGAAGTGAACCACGTAAAATTCTCTGTGCTCTCTGTGATTGTTCTTTTTTCTTTTCTCCATCTCTATTTCCAAATCGCAACAGGGGTTAGAAAACCCAACAATTGGTATCAAAGCAACCAGGTTCGGCGCAGGCGATTTGATGTTAGATATGGGATCCCGAGAAGGAGACGTTCAAGATTGAGAAGTTTGATGGGATAAACTCCGGGTACTGGAAGATGCAGATGAACAACTACCTCTATCAAAAGGATCTGTATTTGCAATTGGGAGAGAAGCCGGTGGATATGAAGGATGCAGAATGGAAGTTGTTAAATCAGAAGGCCATTGGAACAATTAGGTTGACCTTGTCCAGATCTGTAGCCTTCAACATCAAGAATCAGGACTCGACGGGGTATCTCATGGCTGCTTTATCCAACATGTTTGAACAACCCTCGACAGCAAATAAGGTACATCTTATAAAAAGTTATTTAATTTGAGGATGTCTGAGAATCAAAAATTCAAGGATCACCTTAATGAATTTAATGAGATCACAGATCAGTTAAACTCCGTTAATATTAAATTCGATGATGAAATTCAAGCCCTCTTAATACTTGGTCAGTTGCCTGATAACTAGAAGGGTACCGTTATTTCGATTAGCGGGTCATTTGAAAAATCAAAACTGAAGTTTTCAGAGATTGTTGACATGGTTATGACCGATGAGATTAGAAGGCAAGAAGAAGGAGTCGCTAGTTGAGTGTCAGCACTGAATGTTGAAAGTAGAGGTAGAAACAGAAACATGAATAGAGGAAATAGTCGTGGGAGACCTAATTCGAGGAACAGCAGGTCAAAATCCAAAAATCGTAAAAGCAAGAAAGAGATTGACTGCTAAAACTATGGCAAGTATAGGCACTATAAGAATCAGTGCAGGGAATCCAAGAAAGACAAGGAGAGAAAGATTGAAGCGAACGTTGCATCGGGAGAATCAGATGATGCCCTCATTTGCTCGTTAGAGAGCAAAACAGAATCATGTGTGCTGGATTCAGGAGCATTGTTTCATGCTACCTCAAATAGAGATCTATTTGAGAACTATGTTCCAGGAAATCTAGGAAAAGTCTACCCTGGTGATGACCAGGCGTGTGATATAGTTGGAAAAGGAGTAGTGCAGATAAACCTCAATGAGTCTGTATGGAAGTTGAATGATGTGAGGCATGTTCCTAGCTTGAGGAAGAATCTAATCTCCATAGGACAGCTGGCAAAAGAGGGATATATAACAACATTCGCATGTGATACGTGGAAGGTTACCAAGGGGTCTATGATTGTTGCCCGTGACACGAAGAGTGTGACTCTCTATATGACAACAGATGCATGTGGATCCATTACAGTGGTTGAGAGCAAAAAAGATCCAAATTTATGGCACAAAAGACTTGGTCACATGAGCAGCAATGGGCTAAAGGTCATGTGGTCGAATGGAAAGCTACCAGGTTTGAGGTCGACTGGTCTTGACTTATGTGAAAACTGCATCTTTGGAAAACAGAAGAGAATAAGCTTCAAAAGAGTTGACAGAACTTTGAAGGAAGAGAAGCTTGAGCTAGTTCATACAGATGTGTGGGGGTCCAGTATCAGTCCAGTCTACTGGTGGAAGGTTGTATTTTGTGACCTTCATAGATGATCACTCGAGGAAGACTTGGGTCTATTTCTTGAAACACAAATCAGAAGTGTTCGAAGTGTTCAAAAGGTGAAAGGCTATGGTAGAAAATGAAACAAGTTTGAAGATCAATAAGCTGCGATCAGATAATGGCGATGAGTATGAAGATTCTGAGTTTAAGAAGTTCAGCTATGATAGTGACATCAGATTGGAGAGGGTAGTGCCGGTACACCACAGCAGAACGACATTACAGAACGGATGAACATGACATTGACTGAGAGAGCCAGAAGCATGTGTCTACAAGCAGGACTTCCAAAGCAGTTCTGGACAGAAGCAGTTAACATAGCTGCCTACCTGATCAACCGGGGACCATCAGTACCTTTGGAGCACTAAATACCTGAAGAAGTATGGAGCGGAAAGGAGGTAAACCTTTCTCATCTAAGAGTCTTTGGTTGTGTTTTATATGTTCATTTGAGTGATCATATAAGAAGCAAACTCGATTCTAAATCTTTAAAATGTTATTTTGTTGGCTATAGTGGTGATGAGTTTGGCTATAAGTTCTGGGATGAGCAGAGCAAGAAAGTCATCAGAAGCAGGGATGTTGTCTTCAATGAAGTAGTCCCCTACAAAGATCGTGATATTGTTCAGTCCACTAGTTCAGTGTAGTTTGAGCTTGTATACTTCGAGCCGGGTGATGTTCCAGATGGGAGCAACCTTGAGGCTAGTTTTGATGAGGCAAAAGAAGTAGCAGAAGAGGTGGAAGAATAGATGATAGAGGAGATTACTTCAGAGAGGACAGATGCAGATGTAGAGTCTGGTCCACCTGTCAGAGAGTTGAGGCGGACAACTAGAGTACCCTAGCCAATTCCGAAGTATCCATCATTACAGTCCAAGTCTCATTTGAACTACTTATTGTTGAGTGATGGTGGAGAGCCAGAAAGCTATGATGAGGCATGTCGAGTGGGTGATGCGAGCAAGTGGGAGCTTACTATAAAAGATAAGATGGAGTTCTTGAACTCTAACAAGACTTGGGAGCTTGCGAAGTTGCCAGTGGGAAAGAAAGTCTTGAGTAACAAATGGGTGTACAGAATCAAGGAGGAGCATGATGGTTCCAAGAGATACAATGCTAGATTGGTGGTCAAAGGGTTTCAGCAGAAAGAATGAGTCGACTACACAGAAATCTTCTCTCCTGTAGTCAAATTGACTACTATCAGATTGGTTCTGAGCATTATTGCAACTGAGGATCTACATATCGAGCAATTAGATGTGAAGATAGTCTTCCTCTACGATGACTTAGAGGAAGAGATATACATGCAGCAGCCAGAGGGATTTACTCAGAAAGGCAAAGAAAAGATGGTGTGCGGATTAAAAAAGAGCTTTCATGGTCTGAAACAAGCTCCAAGGCAATGGTACAAAAATTTTGATGGGTTCATGCAGAGGAATGGATACTCACATGCAATGCTGATCATTGTTGTCTCTTTAAGAAGCTTGATACCAGTTACGTTATCTTGCTACTATACGTCAACGATATGCTAGTAGCCGGTTCAGATATGGGTGGGATCAAGAAGTTGAAGAAGCAGTTGTCAAGTGAGTTTGGCATGAAGGACTTAGGTACAACGAAGCAGATTTTAGGGATGAAGATTAGCAGAGACAGGATTTTAGGTACACTGTGGCTATCTCAGGCCGAGTACATTAGACGAGTGCTTGAGAGGTTCTGGGATGAGTGATGCTAAGGCTGTTAGCACACCTTTGGCTAGTCATTTCAGGTTGATTAGGGAGCAGTGTCCAGTGACTGATGAGGAGAAAGACTACATGGTGAAGGTTCCATATGCTTCAGCCATTGGAAATCTTATGTACGACATGGTGTGTACGAGGTCTGACATTTCCCATGCAGTGGGAGCTGTAAGTAGATTCATGTTAGATCCAGGAGAACAGCACTAGGAAGTAGTGAAGTGGATTCCAAGAGATGCAAGTTGGGCCTGCAGGGGGTATGTTGATGCAAACTTTGCTGGTGAGATAGATCAGAGGATGAGCACTATGGTGTATGTGTTCACATTAGGTACTACTGCCATCAGTTAGGTCTCCCAATTGCAGAAGATCGTTGCTTTATCGACTACAGAGGCAAAATATATTGTTGTGACAGAGGCAAGCAAGGAGATGATATGGTTAAAGGGGTTATTAGAGGAGTTGGGACATAAAATGAGAAGAGTGTCTTACACTGTAATAGCCAGAGTGTCATTCATTTGGCAAAGAACCCAGCTTTTCATGCCAGGACCAAGCATATACAGATTCGTTATCACTTCATAAGGTCATCCTTGGATGATGACTGTTTGTAGGAAATTTGCAGTAAAAAGACAATGAAAGAAAATTTGACTTGTATTCCCTCAAAATCAATTACAATTTGGATTCCGATTACAAAAGAGAGGAGAATGAATTTGATTCTCCCCTTTATTTAATTCTGGGTTCTTCACGGTGGCGATGAGATGCCTCCCTCGAATGCTCGCGTCGAGTTTGCTTCTCGTTGACGATCCGAACGTCTTGATTCACTGGAACGTGATTTTCTCCTCACGATTTGACGCTGTGGAGAACTTGCGTGGCAAGTTTGAAAATAACTCTTAACGAGTTGATAACTCTGAACGAGTTTTAGGAGAACTTGCAGAGCAAGTTTTGAACTCTGATCGAGTTGATAACTCTGACGAGTTTTAGAAGAACTTGCAGAGCAAGTTTTGAACTCTGATCGAGTTGATAACTCTGAACGAGTTTGAACTCTTGAAAAAGAGTTGATTTGAACCGAAAGTTCGGTTAATAAGCCAAGGAAGAAGTTCCTGTTGCTGGTCTCCCAAAACTCCAACAATTCAAGCCGAGAGCCAAAAAGCCAAAAGCCTTCTCTCCCAAGCCAAAATCCCAGCCCGAACTCAGTTGAGTTTTGAGGTATTTATAGGGGGTTAAGGGTATAACCGCCCCTTAAATATCTCCTTAATGAGGGTTTAATGGGGTGTAACTGCCCCTCATAAATCTCTCCATGATAGGGTAGTGATCCCCTAAAATCTTGGGGAGAAAACGGTTCTGGAACCGTTCAAATCGTGCTTGAACGAGTTAAACGCTGAAAACAGCGTTCTGGGCTCGAACTGTGCGTTTCTGGACCTGAAACGCACAGTTGAGGTTGAAAAACGCACAGCTGGGGCTGAAAACGCACAGCTGGAGCTGAAAAACGCACAGCTGGGCTGAAAACGCACAGTTGAGGCTGAAAACGCACAGCTGAGGCTGAAAACGCACAGCTGAGGCTGAAAACGCACAGCTGAGGCTGAAAACGCACAACTGGGCCTGTAAACGCACAGTTGGCCTGTTTCAGGCTAAAAACGCACAGTTGAGCCCATAAACGCACAGTTGAGCCGTAAACGCACAGTTGGCCTGTAAACGCACAGTTGGCCTGTTTCAG